CCCGGCCCTGGCGCTGGCAGCTGGGGCGGGTCGCGGGTGTACCCGAGGCTGCTTCGGTGCGGGCGAAGCCGCGGGGTCCTGCAGCGGGCTGGGACGGGCAGAGCCGGGGAGCGCGGGAGGGAGGGCTGAGAAACCCTCAGCGGAGCAGCTGCGCACAGGGACGAAGCGGCGAGGGAGGCGTGGGGGGACGATGGCAACAAAACCCGAGGCTTTCCATTTGCTGAAAAGCCTCTTGGAGTTATTGACAGTTTGGATGAGTTGCTGCGGCGTGACAGAGTTGGCGGGAGGTGTAAGGTGACGCTCGAGTCTGAAAATTTTCATTCTGCCCAGGCGCACGCAGAAGGTTGGGCTTAAATTCTCAGATTCCGGTGACAAAAGCTTACAATTCTATGTTAATTTTTGCTAGTGTAGGAAGTTTCGTAACGTAGAATTCAAGTACCTTTGGTACCAAGTACCAAAGCCACCTTTGGTACTTGCGGGTTTGCAGTTCCCGGTATGCTGGTACATGAGAATGATGCATAGTATGTGGTTGTATAAGCATGTGGCGTTATGAGGAAGACCTTTGATGTCTGAGTTTATAACAACTCTTACCCTCGTCTCATTGTTTTTTGAAGATTTCTGACATGCTTATTGAAAGCAATCGTGACCCAGCTCATTCATTATTCATTTCAGTATGGGGTGAGGGGGAGGTGTGTGGATTAAAAGTTAATCAGTTATAAGCTGATATTATTTTTTTTTCTATGCTGTTTGTTTTACTGAATAGAAGTTTGGGAGATTTTACTGTAACTACATGGGAAGTCAAGTTTTGATAGTGTACATTAGCTGTACTTATTTCAGGTATTCAAACTGTTGTAGACCATATATTGTTCACAGAATTCATGCTTTTCAAATAGTATTCTGCATGGAAAAGGTTACTGAGTACGCTGTAGTCTCTCTTCAAATATTTTAATACAGACAAAATGCTTACATTGTAATGTTCTGAATCCTAGTATGCTGTCAGTGATCATATTGTTTAACTATTTATCAAGTATTTTTCAAACTTCAGTATTTAAAAATAGGAACACAAAATCAGTTCAGCTGGTCACTCTTATCGCTTAGACTATTTATAAAAAAAAAAAGCAAAACTTAGCGAAGGGTAAAAATACCTCAACTCTTTCTAGCCCCTGTCTGTAAGCCAGTTATTTACTGGGTGAAACTGGCGTTTGAGTTGTAAAGCCTCAGAATAGCTTATGCTGAAAAGGTAGAAAGAATCCAACCTGGAGCACGGTGCACACTTTGTGCACTTAAACTGCTGAGGTAGAACAGCTGATAGTGGAGATATTCTCCCAAGTGATGCTGTGTGTTCCCATGCATGTGTTGTGGACAGTCACTCTGTTTCTTGAAGAAACCTCAAAGTCTTTGGGAGCTGCCACTGCAGTGCATTGCATAGAAGTGCAAGTGCTCCCTGGAAAAAGGGGAACTGTCAGCAAACCAAAGCAAGAAAGGTCAAGAGACCGGGAAGTGAGTGGGATAGCATGCGTTAAGCGATTACGTTAACAGAAAAATGTTTTTGTGCCTGACTACTGGTGTGAGTAGTAGGGAGAGAGAGAGAGAGAATGACTCTGGATCCAAGCAGACTTAGTCACGTTGGAAGTCTTTAGTTGTGGGTTTGTTGCTTTTGCTGGAACTGTTTGAGTGAGTGAGTACTGTGCATATTTGTTCCTGTGATGAGAGAATGTTTGAGATGAATGTCTGAAGTAATTGTGAAAGGATTAAATAAGTAAACTGTAAGTAATTGTTTCAAGGAAAATATTATTATATTGTCAGTAAAAACTCGTCTGCTTGAACTTTCCTGACTTCAGTGAAAAATGCGTGATCACTTGAGTTTGTGTTCATAGATGTTCTGCTTCCTCTGTTTTTACTTTCTCTCCATATGCCATACTGCTACATATTAAACCGATGCCTAAGTGCAGGTCATACAGCCTTTTGGGTCAACTCTTTACACAATGAATTTATTTCTCTTTACCCCTATTTTAAGAACTTCAGCTTTAGAAACATTTTTGAAAGTGTGGATGAGGTTGAGGGTCCTTCAACATAGGAGGAAAAGCTGGGCAGAAAATAAGTGTATTGTGTTCTTATGCAGGTGAGTAAGTGTTACGCATTAATCTTGTCCTAGAGATTTGCAGCAACTTGGAAGTGTTACAGATATAAATAGTAGTAGTTCATACACAGCTCTTGCAAGGGCATGTTCTGCAGCAAGTGGGCACTGATAAGCTTTTGCAACACTGCCTCCCCCCTTTTTTTTTTTTCCCAGCCTAAGAGTAAAGTTCATTATTCAACAAGCTCACAGGGCCCAGATTAATACTTTTAAGCTGAACTGTCTGCTTGGTGGGATGGGAATGAATCCTGCCCATAAATCACCTCTTTCAGATTTCCTGCAGCACAAGGGGGTTGTCCCAATGAGGCGACCCCCTCGCAGCCGCACCCTGCCTCTCCCCAGCAGGGCAGGAGGCAGGGCGGCCGCCGGCTCCCTCTCTCCATCTGGGTGGCCTGCTGGGGAAGACAACCTGGTATTTCAGTTCTCTCTGCTTAAGGTGGGACTGGGGGAATCAGCCCTCCTGCCCCCACAGTTCCCACAGTTTGGCAGGGACCCGTCGCCTCTCTGCCCCGCTGCCCAGCAGGGATGCTCGGAACAGCTGCAGTAAGGAGAGGGTGAGCAAGTTGTGTGACACCGGTGACTTGAAAATTCAGCTCCTTGTACCGTCTATGAATATCATAATAACGCTTACAATGTGTTTAGTCTCTGGCTTTTGTTCTTTATGTAGTTTTGGATTGGGAACATGTAATAAGTATATACTGTCTACCTGGGAGGGCAAAGTGTTTAAAATAATAAAGAAATAAAATACTACTTTATTGTTTGTTTGCTGAAAGTTTCAAAATGAGCTAGAGGGACTGCACAGGCATTCTGGGCATGAATTAAACTTCTTAGGTTATTGAAATGAAGGTGTGACAGTAGTATGTACCTAGACTGCATTAATGGTAATAGGGCAACAATAGCAGGAGGAGGTTATTATTGTAACAATTATGGTAACAGTGGTACGGTAACAATAACTGGAAAGAAGCCACAAGCTGGGAGGGTTTGCTGTAGCTGCACCTTCATTTAGTCGCATAGTCAAACCTTTAGGATTATGTGACTATACAAAAGCAATATTGGTCAATTGTCCCATGTGGTTTTAGGAGGTTTAAAACTGTATTTATGCTAGGATTCGTAGTTTTGTATTAGAATGGGAATAACAAATGAAAATGTATTTGCCTGTTCTGAAGTGCACCTCTGAAAGTGGCATTGGGGCCTCTTTAGACAGACAGCAATAAAGTACAGAATAGTCTTTGTGCTGTGATTCTGTGATTTGCTTTTGCAATGAAAATAGGTGCACTTACTTGACCTCCATTTATCTTGGATGCTATCTCAGCTGAGAGATACCTTTTTATTATTATTTTAAATCTGACCTACTCATAAAATGCTGCTAGTTGATGGCTAATGGAGTTTAAATACTGTTAGTGTGGGAGGAAAAGCAGTGTGTCAAGTTCTGGGGTTTCCTCCTGTCACTGTCTCTTGATGGTGTAATCTCAAACTCATCTGTTTTATGGCCACCTCTAAGTTTATGAAGTGTGCCTTACTCTGCGTTGTGATGTTACATGCCCTGGTGGGAGATGAGGCTGGGTTTTCCGCTCTGAAAACAAGCATAAACCTCACTCCCAGTACTCAAGCAGTGCTAAATTGAGCGAGTAGGGAGAATGTTATTTTTTCTGCTGTTGCTGTTTTGTCTGCTGGAACTTTCCTTTTTATGTGTGTGTAGCCACTCTCTTTTTTCAGAGACACACACACACAAAGATGCTGTCTTTTTTTAGAAGCATCCTTTTAGAAGGATGAACATAAGTAATATAATAGGACCTATTATGAAGACTAAGCAATGCTTCTGAAAACATAATTATGAAGCCTTGGCCTAGCCTTTTGTGTGAGTAGACTGCAATACTAAGCTCTAAGAGCTAAGGGCGCTTTCTAGTTCTTGGTGTAGGTATGTGCATTCCTGGGTATCTTGTGTAAGCACACTTGTGTGTCTGTGAGGGATTTCACAGGATTGCTGCTGACAAATAACCGCACTTCTGAATGTTCTAAGAAAGCTTTGGGGATCACTTTAACTAACTGCAGTGTTTGGAGGCTTACAGAAACATCCCCTCAAAAATATGATTTTTATGCTCACTTGGGTTCAGTATGTTTAAACTCTAGCATGTTCTTCAAGGGTGTGTGTCTCCTTATTTTAGTAAAAATAAACCAGGACTTGCTCTTCAGGCTGTTGTAGCTGAGGGTGATGGTAATAATCCTCTCCCATTGATACTCTGCATCTGGGATAGGAAGTCTGTCTAGAACCTTATGTTCAGCTGCTGCTTTTTTGAATGTGGCCAAAACAAAATGCTTGAAATAGAGGGAATCCAACTGAAGTCAGACTGGTATCCTATCAAGTTTAATATCCTTGTTTAATGTAAAAAATGTGCTACAGCTGTTTGTAGAATGAATTAGAAGAAATTCTAAGCAAGGTTGTTATTTGAAAGACGTAAGCTCTTTCGAAGTCTAAGTTACTGCTTAAGAGTTT